GAGGGGGCGGTAATGGCGGAGAAGGATACCGGGAACCGCAGTTCGAACGGAGGTGGGAACAGGAACACGTCGATCTTGCAGGAATACGGTAAGAACGATCGATTACGAGGAAACGTGCGTGCCTGCGTGTACGATCGAATGTTTCTTTTCCAAGTACTCGAGAGGGAGACGGCGACTCCACGAGAAATACCGAGGAAACCGGAAGTTGCGGTGGAACGTCAGCGAACGGGAGAGAGCGATCGTTCGCGTGATTTCCGTTGGTTGACGTCGCACAGCCTCCGCTCGTCACTTTTTCTCACCACCCTCTCCCTCTCCCTCTTTTCTGTCTTTCCCCTGACGCCCCCGACAGAAGCAAGATCGTCTCCGGAACGTCGCACGATTATATTAACGATTATTATCATCGTCATCACCATGATCGCTTATTATCGATAATCTGTTGGCGACGATGTTGACAATAACCATAGGGGACTCGGCGTGTTGTAATCTACGAACTCCTCGAAATGTGAATGGGAAGGTTCTGAGACGAGTCTGGTACACGTGGGCGGGAGGGGGAGAGGCCGAGGAGGAGACAGCGACGACCACGACGGTGACGGTGACGATGACGATAAAGCGAACCGAAAGCAAAACCGAGCATCGTCGCGATAGAAGGAATTATAGAAAATTCTGTTTCGAGTGTAGACGCGAACGTGTGCGTTGATGGTCATTGAATTGCGAGCGAATCCCGGGGATTCAATATTATAGGAAAAAATGGCGATACGGGAGATAAAGAAATAAAAAAAAGATAAAGAGATAAGAACGTAAGGGAAGAGCATCGAATCCCCGTGATCGGACGAAGAATTCGCGAAGAAACGTTCGATCCGTCTGCGGAAGTTGGGATCGGTATTCGACGGAGCACAGCGGACGACTATACGGGTACTTTGCTTTCGGCGCGCTGACCGCCGATTTTCCATCGCGATTACACGCGAGTCAAATTCAATCTGTAGCAATCCACCGAGAGAGAGAAGGATGTAAGTCGAGCGTTTTACTGTATAAGTATATACATACATTATCGTGTATATATATATATAGTGTTCCACGTTTAACGACTTTACGCCATTGAGTAGACGAGTAGAACGATTTTACATTAACGAAACACGGTAGCGTTTAATCGTCTTACCCTAATTTTATATATCGTCGAAGGTACGTATCCGCAGAAAAATAACGATTTTAGTCAGCACTACGAATCGAGTTACCCGTACATCATGTAGACGACGAAAGTCCGCAAGCAAAGAGAATTTAAAAAACCCACACGATGTTCAATGTATTTAACGATCTTCTCTCGAAAAAGGAACAATATACGAGAATATATATATATATACATATATATATATATATATGACGCGAGAGTGAAAGGAGTTTGCGCGTTCCATTCATTCATTCGTCTCCTCCGCCCCCGTACCGACGCATCGGGAAGGAATCGCGCAACGAACAGCAGGGGTTGCTCTCGAGACGCCGAGCGGCTTCCGCTTTTCAGAGGCTTCTTTATTGTTACAGGCGTCGACGGTTAAACCGTAGGTCGCGGTTGCGAGTCCGACGGGAACGAGGTACCTTCAATCAGGACAAGGAGAAATAAATATAGTATACAATGACTGGTAAAACGGTGAATAAAAGAACGGAGATTGAGATCGGTAAGCCGGCAGCTTAACGCGGGTAACGCGCGTAGCCCGCGTCGGTATCCGCCGGGCACAGGTTCGAGTCCAGGACGTCGCTGACGATTCTGGCTGGACGAATCAGACCGTAATCGTACTGTCCGTCTCTCGGTATATCCTCTGGCCCTTTCAGCGCGTACTTCCGGATGAAGCCTTTTATCGTTTCCGGGTCCGTGTACGCCATGGTCAGTCGACATCCCCAGGCGACCAACGCAAACGGCTATAAAATCGGATATAAACGTTTATCTGTGAATCGGTTGAATTCGATTCGGTAGAGTGCGCTACTGACATGATCACGGTGGCTTAACCCTTTGCGGACGGGTGTCAACATTTTGCTGACATCAAACTTTCTTTGAATACTAAGTAAAGATTGAACTATTCAAACAGGAAATTAGCATATAGTTTACTTATCCTGTTATTTAACTATTCGACGTGTAACTTGACAGGATCTGCAAAAGGTTTTGTATAGTTTGAAGAATCTCCAACCTTTACTGCAACCTCTACCTGTTTTAACAATTTTCCTATATTTATTTGTAGTATCACAATTGTACCATTTAAAGGTAGCATTTCAACGACTCCCAAATATTCTTGAATAAACAAATAGAGCGTAATGTTAAGCTGTAATTGAATGAACTAACGTCGACGTGAACCTCAAAGTGAGAAATCAAGAGCACTTCGTCTGCAAAGGGTTAAGTGCTTCAATGAACTCATAAATGAATTCATTTAAGACTGAGTTATTCGCTGTCCTCGTCTAAGCGAAGATGGTCCAATCTATTTTCATGCAAAGGTTGGCCAGCTCTGGTGTAGCTGAATCCTCTTGCTGTTGAGCTACAAGTCGGCTGGGATCATGTCAGTAACGCACTGCAACTATATGCAGAATTCCAGTATCAACGATGGCTCCGTATGGAGATACTTACTCGTTCGCTGCTCAACAAGTTGTACGGAGTTATAACATGGCGGCGCAGGCACCCGGTGACCAACCTCTTGAATCGTTTCACCTCCAACGGATTCGCACATGGATGATAGAGCGCGACAATAGCGCCGTGCTACGCAGAAACGAAATGAAATGTAGATTCGATTCGACCGGGTTGGACTCAGAGAGGACCATGCATACCTCCAGACTGTGCAGCCACCTCTGCCTCGGCAGGAATTTGTATTCCCCATAAATGGGCCAAAGTGGTCTGTGCGATCCGCTGAAATGAGATGGAATGATAGAAGACCATGTCCAAAGGAAGTCACCAGTGATACTTACTACAATGGAATGTCGTCGTCGTACTCTATCTTTTCATTCATGCACTTGTGCAAAGCCTGAAACGATTGAAACCACCAATTAGGACAGGTGACGGTGGTTAGGTCGATTTTATAGGAGGAACGGTTACCCTTACCACATAATTCTTGGGTATGTGCTCGCAGTATTCAGTGGGGAATGTTTTTCTGTCTGGTTGGAACTTGTGCTGGTAGCATGTGTAGACGGTCGGTGAACCGGTCCAGTCCACGGTCAGGTTTGTCTAACATCCATTGGAAAAAAGATATCTGTAAAGCAGCAGTTTCCAACCTGGGAAGCGCGGACTATTGCCAGGGGAGACGCCACAGTTTTTAATAAAACATTAATTATAGTTCCTGTTACTCAAAGCGTGTCTATATTATTGTATCTATTAACCCTTTCCACTCGACAATACTTTTCATTACATTCATTATTTCCTGACAAAGTATCAACAACCTTATTTACAACTTCCATAAAGGAACATCTATAAATTATGGGGCAGAACTGTTTTACCTATTTCATGTTAATACATTATTCAATATTTTATCCTGAGTTTTTCATTTCATAATCTTGCTGCGTTTGATGGAATGACAACTGGCATAGTAGAATAAAGATTGGAAACCGCTGCAGCAAAGAGAAAATTGCGCGGGAACGGTAAGCGAGTACCTTGGCGTCGTCGCAGTCCGGCGACGGGTAGCCCATCGTCACGCCGTGCAAGACAGCACGGTCAAGGAACGATTCCTTGCTCTCCAGAGGAATCTTCGGGAAAATCTTCGGCGGCGGAATGGGTTCGTCCGGTCTATCCGGCATCCATCGTCCGTGCCAGCTGTCGCCGGATCCGTTGCCGTCCGCGTTCCTCCGGTTTTCCCCGTTCAGCCGGTCGAACAGCTCGTACGGTCGCAAGAGCCGCGAATCCTCTGCAACGGGTCCACGGCCGGTCCATCGGGTCCGTTAGCAATAAGGTGTCTAGGCGCGTTTCCTAGGTTAGGAAACGGTACGTAGCCGTGCCGCGGAAGCGGTCGGTGAGGTGTACGCGTCGCGAGCATCTCCGAATAGATGGAAACTCGGGAGTACCGTGGAAAATGCGTGCCACTTACCTTTCTGGTAATAACGATCGTCCAAAAATTGCCTCTCGGCGACGCACTCGCAGACGAGAAGTATCAGCGCGGTTATCGTGTTCATTCTTCTGAGCGGTTTTGTATAGTGTTTTCCGAATGACAACACGCTTCTCGGCGCGAGGAGTGGCGTTCGGCCGTCAACGTCATGGAACCTACAGCGGACGCCATCTTTTGGCGGGGGGCTGAATATTGGAGCTGAAATCTATTCGTATCGATACGAAATTGGTATGAAATCGGTATGGAATCGGTATCGAGGGTAAGTTCGAATGTCCAACGTGATACTGATTTCGAAACAATGACGATCAATATTTTTCGTGGACAGTTGTCCTCGGCGAGAGGATTGACGATCGATTTCTACGTTGCGGAATCGACATCGGGCGCCATCTTTCGAGTTGTGGTTGAATACTAATGCCGAAATCAATTGGTACCATACGGAATCGGTATTGAATCGGTATGGAATCGGTATGGAATCGGTACGGAATCGGTATCGATGGCAAGTTTGAATGTCTGACGCGAGGAGTGGCGGTCGACCGTCTACGTCGTGAAATCGACATCGGACGCCATCTTTCGGATGGAGGCTGAAGTCTAACACCGAAATCAGATCGTATCGATAAGAAATCGGTATGGAATCGGCATTGAATCGGTAAGAAATCGGTATTGATCGGTATTGAATCGGTAAGAAATCAGTATGGAATCGGTATCAAGGGCAAGTTCGAATGTCCAACACGAGACCGATTTCGAAAAAGTGACGATCAATATTTCTCGTGGACAATTGTCGCAGTGTCGGCAACGGTTTTCAAACGATCGGACCCTCGAGATGAATTTCGAGCGGATTTCCAAGACGGAAGCTCGTAACGGGGATCCTCTCGCGGGTGTCGTTTGCCGACGAGGTCGACGGGACTTCTCAGACGTCGGCGAATACCGACATTTCTTGGGATGGAAGAAGGAACGGATAGTGGAGAAATCTGAGGATGATGATCTCTGGATAACCGGAACTTCCAAATTGCTGAAGAACAATTACAATAAAACACTTGATTTTAAATAAAAATATTTATTAACACAGGTAGCTGGATCATAGATCATAATATGACTACTGTAATACTAAATCGTTAATAATCTTCAATATCATTTTGGTACCACATTAAATACTTTTAATACGGTCAAGAATATCATTATAATTACAAAGCACCGAGAACATAAAGAAACATCAAAATCTACGTAAAAACGACCAAAAACTTGAATACAACTCGATACTTTCTTTAAAAGATCAATACAGTTCACAAGCGAAGTGTAACCGAAATCTCCGTGGCGCGGGACGTGTTAAAAGCCTCGAATCTATTAGCGGGATAAGCCCGTTGAGTGGTCGTCGGCCGCTATCGGAGGCGTCGCTTCGAAAGTTTCACTTTCAACCGCGAGGAAAGTAAATATTCGGGGGATCGCAAACATCGCCTCGAGTGTTCCCGAGCCACCTAAAGCCTCTGCTATCGCCCTATCGACCGATGTCGCGTCGGAAGGCAAGTTTCGCTTCCCGATAGAGCGACGTTTCGAGACGAAACGTTCGGATTTGGAAGATCATGTCGCAAACAAGTGATTCAGTTACTTGAACAACTTAATCCTTAACACTCTTTGCACTCGGAAGTATTTCCAATGAAATACTTAACATCCTCTGACTAGACAAACACGATATTTTTTAAACGAACTCAAAGGAACAGCAAGTAAATTGAGAAACAGATATTTTAGTCAAACACAGTTAACTGGTTAAACTACGCATAATGCCTCGATACGTAAACATTGGAATAAAACAGCTGTTCCTCAATGCAGGTGATCTCTCTTCGAAGTCTCAAAGAACATCGCCTTCGCCTCGTGAAGAAACGTTAAATGTTTCTAGTAAGAAACATCCGAGTGCAAAGGGTTAAACGTTGAAATCGGCGGTAAGTACAGACGGAAGTGCAGGCGAGCCAAGATGAAGTCGATCCGAGGCGCGAACGGGCGAGGATCAGTTCCTCCTGTTGCTCGAGGACGGCACGCAAGCGACGGCCACGGGTACTTGCCTCATCTGCCACGTGTTGCTCAGGGACAGCGGCAGCGAGGTCTCCAGCAACTTGGGCCCCTCGCGCAGCGACTCGTTCGCGTCGCGCTTCCTCAGCACGTGCACCTGCGGAGGAACGAGTGAAATTAGGAGACTCGATAGGAGGGAAAAGTTTGGTTGATCGTGGTATTACCGGGTAATAGATCAACCTGCACGAGTGGCGTATGCTTCGGCAGGTCCTCTGCTTGCAATTAGACACGCTGATGTATCTCGGGTAATTGTCGACCCCGAGATCCTTCACCTTGAACTCGGAGTCGCAGGAACAAGACGTCGCCTGCTAACAATCGGAAAAATGTAAACGATTAGCCGAGTATTCGCGTTCGTTCAAAAAACTTCAAAAATTTCTTACTAGACATATTCAATTTATTTTTATGAGATACAGTTGACATTTTTTTCAACTAACTTAACGAGGAATCTATTCACAAAATAGCTTTGTCCCTCAGTTTAAGTGTGATTTCTCGTTGAGTTAGTTTCACTAAATATCCTCTCTATCTCAGCAGAAGACATTGAAATATTTCTGATGTAAAACTTCCGAGTGCAAAGGGTTAATATTTTACAATTCGGAATTCGATTTGCCGTTGCAGATATGTGAATGAAATTGAAACGAGTCGTTGAGTTCCTAATGTAAGGTAGACTATAGTTTCTAATAACAACGTCTGTAGGATTCATTTCGTTTTCATTGTGTAAAACCGTTACAAATACGTGACAATGAAATTGAAACGAGTCGTTGAGTTCCTAATGTAAGGTAGACTATAGTTTCTAATAACAACGTCTATAGGATTCATTTCATTTTCATTATGTAAAACATAGGATTACGGCCGTTGCAAATATGTAACAATGAAACTGAAACGAATCATTGAGTTCCTACTGTAATGTAGTTTATGGTTTCTAATAACATCATCTATAGGACTCATTTCATTTTCATTATGTAAAAAACATAGGGTTACAGCCGTTACAAATACGTAACAATGAAATTGAAGCCAGTCATTGATTTCCTACTGTAATGCAGTTTATAGCTTCTAATAACGACGTCTATAGGATTCATTTCATTCTCATTATATAAAACCGTTACAAATAGTGACAATGAAATTGAAGTCAGTCATTGAGTTCCTAATGTAACGTACTTCATAGCTTCCAATAACATCATCTATACGACTCGTTTCATTCTCATTATGTAAAACCGTTACAAATACATGTCGCTGGTAGCGAACGCGTTAACGTACCTCTACCGGGTGCAACCGCGGGGAGGATTGACCGTTTACTCGCTTCGCTACGTTCGTTGTTGTATCGTCGCTGTAGTCGTTGTCCACGTCGGTGCTGTAGTCCTCCTCGTCGGGCACTTGGAAGAACGGCGTGTCGAAGTGCCAAGGAAACGGCGACTCGGCGGGCACCGTTCTATGGTAACGTTCGGAGAAGAATTGAACGTCCGACGGGCTGCGCGCCGATTGTCGATGCCGGCGTTGATGCAGCTCCCATTGATCGGCAACGGACGATGGCTCCGCGAACCGTAGCTCGTGCATCATCATCTGAATATAAAAAAAAAACGGTGACTCGCAATCGCCGTTTCATTCGGAAAATTATAAAATCGACGATTCAACGCGATAGGATGAGCAAGCCATCGGCACGTGAAGCGAAACAATTCTGCCACCGAGTTTATGCAAAATTTATGCAGACGAACGTAGAATACGAGTAAAATTTGTCTCGATTCTTGTCAGTTCTAATTAAATATTGTTCTGTTATCGGATACTATATTGCAAACGTAGACAGAGGATATGAGTAAAATTTGTCTCTTTCAATAAATTTATTATGGATTATAATGGATTAAATAATAAAGCAATAAATTATTGCTGAGGAAGTTGTATCGATTATAATCCATTATAATACATTATAATCGATACAACTTCCTCAGCAATAATTTATCAGAAGAGACAAATTCTACTCATACTCTACATCTACGTTTGCAATATAGTGTCCGATAACAGAACAATATTTAATTAGAACTCACAAGAGTAACACTTATGCTCGTTAAATTCCGTTTAAAATCCACAAGTCTCACACGTGACTAAGGTCAACATTCAGAAAACAATGCACGTCCGAGTACTATCAAGTTCAAAGGGTAAGTCTCTCCGTTCGATCCGCGTCGCGCTCTTCGATTCGAGAATTCTTACTTACGAACAGGATCATAACGGTGTATCTCGACGCGCGACTGATTTGCAGCAGGATCGACATCGTGCGGACTGAATGATGCTCCTTTCGCGGATACGTCTTATATAGGAAACCGTCGGGGCTGGGACAATAGGTGAAAACACCCCTATCGAATTACATCTTCCGGTGATACGACTAATAACATCCATTAACGTCACCCGATTTCCGACGAAGGTGGACAAACTCGTCCCTCGCAATTCTCCGGCCCTTGTGACATTTGTCGCAATCGTATCCGGCATTAGTCGTCGGTCGCAGATCCGAGAGAGCGACAGCGCGCGGATTCTGCGATCGACAGTCGCCGAACTCGCAGGCCGTAAAGCGCGAACGTTGTCGCCGGACAATCGAATCGACGGCATCGTTTACGACTCACACGCGCAATTTAGCTCGCTACGTTTTCGCGTTACGACGCGCGCTTCGGCGGGAACAGCGCGGCCTCCGGAATTTATTTTCTGCATCAGATACGAGCGAGATCGATCGCGCGGACGCGGGTGCGCGCGGTAGCTTTTTCCGCAGGAACAGCAATTTCAAAGTTTGCGTTCGACCCGCTCGAAACTCGAGGCGGGACGGAGAGGCGAGACGGAGAACAGGTAACCACCGCGTTGCACAGAACTTCTGCGAAAATTAGAGGAATCTCCGTTTGAAGTTCTTCAGTGGAAAAGTCGGAGAAGCGGCGTCCCTGTGCGACTCGCGACGGAATGGAAGCTCTCCAGTGCGTAGGATGTTCATTGGAAATTCATTCCAGTGTGCATGGAATTCTCTGTGCAGTTTTGGAATCTGTTAGGGTTTCGGTCCTAGGATTAGGTTCACCTAGGATTTCAAATCTTGAAGATCTGCAGTGAATTCTTGAAGAGATCTTGAGAGATCTGGGATTTCTAACTTGAAATCTTGAAGATCTGAAATTAAATCAATTACATCAATACAATTTTGAAATCTGTTAGCTTTTCAGACCTAGGATTTCAAATCTTGAAGATCTGAAATTAAATCTTGAAGAGATCTTGAGAGATCTAGGATTTCTAACTTGAAATCCTGAAGATCTGAAATGAAATCTTGAAGAGATCTTGAGAGATCTAGGATTTCTAACTTGAAATCTTGAAAATCTGCAATGAAATCTTGAAGAGATCTTGAGAGATCTAGGATCTCAAACTTGAAATCCTATTTTGTTTATGCACTATCAAGTACATTTAAAAACTTCCTGATTTTTTCACTGCATTATACACAGATTCAAATTCCTCAGCCTTGTTACGTATTAAACCTTGTTCATAAATGGCTATTACGTCTTTTCAATTGTTAAAAACTCCCCTTTGCGCCAGTTTTCTGTTGTGTAACACCGATTCCAATAACATTGTTTAGGAGCCTAACAAGCATGTTATACGGCGGCTACCTGTAGATCGTTTCGACTCAGCATTTGTCATTTGCCATGGGAAACACGACTGTTTTCATAGTTAAAAATTTGTAGCGATGAACATACGTAGCTGGTTCTGAGACAATTATTCCCAAAGTAATGCTGTAAACAGAGAATGTTTCCCCCAGTAAGAAATTCGTCTACTAAGAGTGAAATATTTTCGATCCAGTATTTGTCATTTGCCATGAAAAACACGACTGTTTTCACGGTTAAAAATTTGTACCGATGGATGCACGTAGCTGGTTCTGAGACAATTATTCTTCCAAAGTAATGCTGTAAACAGAGAATGTTTCCTCCAGTAAGAAATCCGTGTACCAAGAGTGAAATATTTTCATTGTTTTCCCGTTCGTACGCTGATTAGTCGCATCGCGAAAGCGAGCGTCGATGTGGGCTGCTCGTTTAATGCCTTAATGGGTTTCGGTGGCGTCGCCCTGCGTCCCTCGTCGCTCGTCCGCGCTGGATGGCCGTATCGCACCGGGGCGCGTGCGTCCTCGAACCTCTTCACCCCTTAACCATCGTCTGTCCTCTATATATTTGACGGAAAAACGAGGAGGACTCGTAAACGGAACGCGATTCTCAGCACGCGATCTCTCTCTCTTAGCCGCTCGCTGCAACTCGACGTTGGACGACTCTCGCGCGATGACGGGACTGGGTAACCGTGCTTTCCCGATCCTCTTCTGGTCGATCGCAGCCGCCTGGACGGCCGCCGTACCCGTGTCCGTTTCCGTACCCGTTCCTGTGCAGGTAACAATTTTCGTCATCGTTTTCGCTTTCGTCGTTGCGTTCAAGCTCCGCGACTAAACGACGCACAATAGATTCTTGGATAAATTGAGACTAGAACAGAAGAGAACTTGTTTGAAAAGTGGGAAATTTGTAATTTGAATTATCTATAATTGATACGTTTGCTTAAACTGAATCTTTCGTCCTCGTCTTCGTCGTCGCGTTGATTTAAACTCCGCGACTAAACGACGCAAAATAGATTCTTGGATAAATTGGGACTAAAACAGAAGAAAACTTTGAAAATGGATTCTTGGACAAATCGAGACTGGAACAGAAGGAAACTTGTTTGAAAACTGGGAAATTTGTAATTCGATTTACCTATAATTGACATGTTTGTTTAAATTGAATCTTTCGTCTTCGTTTTCGTCGTCGCGTCGGTTCAAGCTCCGCGACCAAACGATGCGTACTAGATTCTTGGATAAATTGCAACTAGAACAGAAGAAAACTTGTTTGAAAAGTGGGAAATATCTGAACTTTTTCAAGCTTTACTCTTTCGTCCTCGTTTTCGTCGTCGCGTTCAAGCTTCGCAACCAAACGACGCACAATAGATTCTTGGACAATTGCAACTAGAACAGAAGAATAATGGGAAACAACTGAACATCTTTTTCAAAATTTACTGTCATCCTCGTTTTCATCGTCGCGTCAATTTAAACTCCGCGACCGAACGACGCACAACGGATCCTTCTATAAATTGCAACTAGAACAGAAGAAAATTTCTTTTAAACTTGTCAAACTTGAAGCTTCCTCCAGTAAAAATGAGAAGCTAACAACAAAATACAATGTATTCCTCAAACACGATGCGACGTACGCGTCAGAAAAGTTGTGCCCGCTATTTCGACAGGCTGCGTCAGTTCTCCGTGTATAAATGTACCTGTTCCCTTCGACATCGAATCTAAACAACGGTTGCTTGCGGTTCGAACGGTTAAAGTCGCGAGGAAATTCATTACTTTACCATTCGGGTCGCGGGCTCGCGTGTTCGCGTGTCGGCTTTATCGCGTTATCTCGCGTCGGCCGAACGTCCTGACGTTCGTCCGACGATTGCGAGTTTCAACGATCGTTGGTTGCAGGCTGGGACGAGCGGCGTACAACGGAACATGTACGGGCCGACAGCCGCGGAGATTCTCGCCGCGTATCTCGAGGACCAAGGTAAGTTCTCTGTTCGCACGCTGTCAAAACAACATTAGTGTACGTGACGTGACACTTTCACACGCCGAATTAACACGTTAACACTAAAACTACCAGAGGGGTGAAATGACCTATGCCTGATGTCTCCTTCTTGCAATTATTAGAAAGGTGACAAATGTCTGAGAAATTATTAAAGAAATTCATTTACTACGCAAATTGAATTGTAAATCAATGACTGAACAGATGCACTCTTGGAGTTTCTATAGCGAAATTATTAAAAGTCGATTGAAGTGCTCGGTAGTTTTAGTGTTACGTTGAGCGCCATGTCAGTCACTGGTGACTGACGCTTCCGAATTACTAAAAACAATCGTAACGTACAAGACGACCCATGTGAAATAAAAATGTTTAATGAGGCGACTGAGTTGATAACAGTGTAACGCAAACGTTGCAACGCCAAACGATTCATAATTGTTCCTACCTTTCTCTGCTACAAAAGACAAACTCTATGGGAAAACGCTTAGGATTTTCGTGGCGCTTAACGTGTTAACCTTGTGTAAAATAGTTGTGACGAAGTTGAAGTGTGTGTGTTGTCCAGTGAGTACAGATTAGTAATGAACTTGTGTTGTCTATGTCTGTCTCCATGTCTCAATGTCTGTCTCGCGATGTATATATAAAAATAGTGACGTAGGGCGGTGTCCTTAGTGACAACTCAGAATTCTAAACGATCGGGCTGTTGCCGATTACAGTTTCTTAGCCTGCACCCACACTACTTGTAAATTTACTTAGATAGTGTTCAGGCATGAGCACAATTGGTCACGCCATAAATCTTTACGTACCGACGGCTGTCTCAACCAAATAAACCGGAACATTCTCCAATATTCCATCATTCCGTTTGTGTCGTCTGCGCCCACCTGTTTCGTGTCTCGTGTCCCGTGTCGCGCGTCAAACTTCGTCGAACGCTTCCCGTGTCGTCCAAGAAAGAGATCGGAGGTCGATCCTGTGTCGTCGAAGTGATTCAACCACGCTGTTCGGCAATTCTAGGCAGGACGGAGGAGAAACCGGTCGACGGACCACCGTCGTCGGCACGAGACTCGGATCGCGATGGGAATCGAAATATAAATTGGTCGACCGGTAGACGTTCGCCGAACGCGTTCGTCTCCGAGCAGGTTCCGAGCACGAGACTCGATCGGAATCTCGATCAGATCGGCGGCGGTAATCTGTTGAGGGGCCTGTCGGAGAGGGAGACGGCTCGCGATCGTTCGTGGTGGTCGGCAGCGAGGAGGAATCTCGATCAGATCGGCGGCGGCAACCTGTTGCGCTCCGCGGACGACCGGCTCTCCAGGAACCTGGACCAAATCGGAGGTGGAAATCTGGTGCGCGACACGAGCGGCGACTTCCGGCGGAACTTGGATCAAATCGGAGGAGGGAACCTGGTGCGCGACCTCGCCGGCGCCGTTCGCCGATTCCAGGCGCGCGCCGGGGACGCCGGATCGCGGGACGCGATCGACGCGATCGTCTGACCGGCGGGACGCGCGGCACTCGCGAGCGTGACGATAGCGTCGCCTTTGTATCGAATCCATTGCAGTAGACAATAAAAATCGTATGTACGAACGAGCCCGTGCCATCGCGTGAAGCGCATCCTTCCCCTTTCTTTCATTCCTGCGTCGGTGTGCGAGGGAACCTTCTCGACCGCCGATTTTGAAGAAGGTACCGTAATACAGAGTTCTCGAGGGAAAAGTGCGAAAGAGATTCGGAGTGCAAAGGGTTGAAAATCTATCAATATCCGGCGTACAATGCGATAAGAAAATTATTTCTCTGCAGTTTCAGAGATACTGCATAAATATACTTTCAACCCTAACTTTAAAGGACGTTCTCATCGCTCGAAAATTGATATAACTGATAAGAAGAGAATGTGTCAAATATTTTCTTAACACTTAGCCAAGTAGATGAGATCTCCCATTGTTCACTTAGCAACTATTGCCTTTTATTCAACTCATCTTTCCTTTCCTTGTTCAGTAAGCCTTGAAGTATGAATATTTGCAACTCATCAAATACCTTCTTTGCAAAACAAAGCTTTCAACCAAATGAACTGAACTCAATTGAAGATAACGAAAGAGGTTCTAGTAATACTCCCTTTTAAGTATCAAGAACTTGAATTTTTAGTTAAATGAATTGAACTCACTCAGTTGAAGATAATGAAAGAGGTTCTAGTTATACTCCTTTTAAGAGGTTCTAGTTATACTTTCTTTTATCAAGAACTTGAATTTTTAGTTAAATGAATTGAACTCATTCAATTGAAGATACTGAAAGAGGTTCTAGTTATACTCCTTTTTAAGTATCAAGAACTATGTTTCACCTTTCATCAAAATCGTGTCGAAAAGGTTCCCTCATCAAGCCCAGACCTAACGCAGCCTCGATTTCGTTCAAGATGCGCCGGATTCGTACGAGCCGACGGACAGAGTCGGCCAGCGCCGCGATCGTCTCCACTATTCCGCCCCTGGGAGAACGTTGGACCACTTTCGTGGTATCTCCGGCAGGTAAGCGACGATTCCATTCCGAGATCGACGCGGTTCGTCGAATAAATTCGCCCTCCGGCGTTCGTTGCTCTGTTCGCAGCGGACGGATCGATCCTGTTTTGAACAGCTGGACCGCGGGCCGCGTCCGTGTTCCGTTCGAGAGGTTCGCCACCAAGCGGAACATCGACGAGATCGATCGTTCGCCGTTCGACAACTTCTTCAAGAAAAGCACGGGTCGGCTGGATCGCTCCGGTTGGATCGGCTCCGACGATGATCGTCCGTCGTTCGACAGATTGTACGCAACGCTCGATCGCTGAACCGACTGAACAACGAGAATCCTCTTGCCGTCTCGCACCTCTGTAGCAACGATACCTCTGTCGCGGAAATAGACCATCCAAACAATGTTCCTTTTCTTTTATTTCAACTTTCCGCTTGCGCCGACAAATGACGTCTACACTTTGATGTGGAGATCGGTTACCGAGCTGGCTACGCGGACGGGCGGCTTGATCTAAGCGATCCTTCGGCTGCCGGCTCGCTGAGGAGACGAACTTCCGGAGTGGTCGGTGTTTTGGCTCGGTCGAACGCGGGGTCTCGCGCGCAGACCGAGAACTTCGACAGAGGATTCCGAACCGGAGGGATTCCGCTTCTGGTTTCGTTTCGATCCTCGTTCTTCTTCCCCTCCGCTGCTGCAAGGATCCTTTGAATCTCTTCGTTCACGTTGACGGGCGTCTCGATCCACACGCTCTCCCTGTTGCGGTCCATCCGGAGCAGCTAGTCGATGAAGAGTATCAGTACGTTGGTCATGAGAATTTAGAGCGTGTAACGTTACTTGTGTCGCAAGTGCGAATGGTATTGGGATTAATTAGCAGTCATTCGGTATCGTAGCTCTTGAGGTATGCTGTTATTCAGATATCTACGTAACTGAATATTTTGCTACATCAAAATATACTTTTTTATCATTGTTTTCAATATAGACGCTCCGATCATCAGTGCCATGGCACGTGCTACACGATGCGAGCAACTTGATGCTGAAGATACAGTGCAGGTCTCACGTCAGCCAAGCTAATTAAATACTTAATACTTTGCTACATCAAAATATTCTTTTTTGTGAGTGAGAGTCCTCTTCACTTTTGAATCGTGTAACACGTGCCATAGTACTGATGATCGTCTAGATTACTCAAAAACAATGACAAGAAAATCTTTTGATATATCAAAATATCCAGTATTTAATTAACTTAGCTTTCGCGAGACCTGCATTGCACAAGTACCTCTATCAAGGTCTCCTCAAGTTCGGCGAACCGCTGTAAAGCCGTCGACAATTTCGCACTCTGACTGGTCAGTCGATCGGTGATGCGCAATTCCTCTCCGACGTCCCGTTCAATCTGGGGAATGATCGGTACCTTAAATTACCTTTAACCAATTACCGCCAATTATCGACAGACCCCAGGTTTGCGAGTACGCACCTCCTCCACTCCCTTGGCAACCTGCTCGCCGATGTACCTGACATTCTCGCGCGCCCGGCGAACCTGTCGACGAGACGCGTTACCTACTCGTGCTGCACCGTTTTATCGACGGATTCGATTATACTCACGTTCGAGGAAAATTCTCTCATCTCCGCGATGATCTTGCGCCGCAACCTCGTCGCTGCTAGAAACTAAATTCTACGGGATTACTCGGTCGAACGCGACCGGTCGTCACGTGGCTTACCCGTTGACAGACGTAAGCCAGGATCAGCACGCTGGCGATCGCCGGGATCGCCCCACTGGAAATTTCACGATGCATCGGTTGCGCTTCGCCTCGTCCATCGGAACGCGAGTCGACGGAAGGACGATCGGGATTTTTCCGACCTGACACCACGCGATGTTTCACGATGCTTACCTGTCAACTTTTTGGAAAATAATTGAACGAGACGAGTATCGATTCTGTGCAGAATCGATCATATATTTGCAGTGATTTTTGCCGCGATTATAGAGTGGAAACTACAGTAAATATTTAATTACTTAGGTATATACCTCTGCGTGTGATATATTACTCCAAGATTTTGGAAATTAAGTGCAGAATTATATGGGAAGTGTATAAATATGAATATTCATGCAGTAAGAATAATAAAATAAAACGACGCCGATCGGTAACCAAGAATAAAGGACGATGGAATGATCGAAAAGTTATCGAGCGAGGAATCGAGGGACCAATTGACTGACAACTGGTATGGCGTCAGATTTATGGTGTCCTTTTTTATTCGATATATTATTTATTTACAATGTTGAAATATTTTACCAACTTCTATGACGGCTTGTTTCCAACTATTTATAAAATGAATGTCACGGATATTAATAAAAGAATTTAAAATGTATAATTAAACGATTTCTAACAGAAATTGATTTTACCTGTAAGTAGAAACCGACACTACCGACAGATTGGCTACAGATCCATGGCGTGTGCTGCCGTCTACACGGGTGATTCGGCGCACGATCGTTTTGAGTGCAGCGCTAACCACTCTGCGACTATTCCGCCCGTAGGATCGCCAAAAATATGCAAAAATATGAGAAACTCGAGAAAATAGGAGAAGGTAGGTGTGCCAAATGTTACCAATCGACCCGTTCCCATTTCAAAACACGAGCGACGTTGTTTCCTGATTTTAAACTGACGCCGATGATGCTGGGCTAAACGAGCATTCTTTTGACAATCTCCGTCGAAGACGCGTACAACTTTTTCCTTCGCTCGCTTGACTGTCTCTGGGTTTTTCAGGCACATATGGAACCGTTTTCAAAGCGAAAAACCGAGAAACACACGAAATCGTCGCCCTGAAAAGAGTACGATTGGACGAGGACGACGAAGTACGTTGTTCGCCTGACTAGTTCGGAACTATCGACACACAGGTTCCATGCTTCACCGATTACCAGTTTTTTTCTGTCTCGCACAGGGTGTACCGTCGTCCGCGCTCAGAGAGATTTGTCTGTTGAAGGAACTGAAACACAAGAATATCGTTAGGCTATACGACGTATTGCACAGCGACAGGAAACTGATTTTGGTCTTTGAGCACTGTGATCAGGATCTGAAAAAGTACTTCGACAGTTTGAACGGAGAGATAGACTTGGATGTAGTCAAATCCTTTCTGTGAGAAATCTTTCTATAATGCAGTCTTCGCGAGGGCATACATAGAACCTCTAATCGTCTCTGTCACTGGTTTCAGGTATCAGCTGCTACGTGGATTGGCGTTTTGTCACAGCCGAAATGTGCTACACAGGGATCTCAAACCGCAAAATTTGCTCATCAACAAGGTAAGACTATCTTGTTGTCCGTCGGGCAGCGAGGTACTTCCAGCTTTAGAGAGTGGTTGCAAATCGATTTCCAGAACGGGGAGTTGAAACTGGCAGACTTCGGACTGGCCAGAGCCTTCGGGATTCCAGTGAAATGTTACTCCGCAGAAGTTGTCACGTTATGGTACCGTCCTCCGGACGTTCTCTTCGGTGCAAAATTGTACACGACGTCCATAGACATGTGGAGCGCCGGATGTATATTCGCTGGTGAGTAACCGAGCAATTTTTTTTAAAGAGGTTCTGGAGAGCAGGTCTATATATGTATCTTTGATTCAACGATTCCTCGTAGAACTGGCGAATGCTGGCAGACCGTTGTTTCCCGGCTCGGACGTTGAGGATCAACTGAAACGAATATTCAAAATGTTGGGTACGCCAACCGAAGAGACTTGGCCGGACTTTACCACGCTTCCCGACTACAGGCCTTTCCCTCCGTATCACCCTGGCCAAGGATTGGCTCACGTTACGCCGAAACTCAATTCCAGGGGCAGAGACTTATTACAGGTGACACAGTACACGTGCACGCTAGTGTTACTCCATAAATCAATGTCACTGTCGCTCATATTTCACGATCCCTGTTTCAGAGACTGTTAGTGTGCAATCCAGCGTTACGATTATCGGCGGACGAAGCGATGACTCACCCTTACTTTAACGATTTGAACCCTGCCATAAAAAATGATCGTTGCCAGTAGCGCATTCCAGGTTAACCTAGCCCGATGATCGAGACCGTATAATATATATACGTACATGTACATGCATACATGTACACATAGGACGTATATATATGTATACACATTCACCGCGAGTAGCACAGCGACCAAAATCACTCCGGTAAAAATCGTTTGTTAATATATACATATATATTGCTATTATTATACGCGTATATTTCGTATTCGATGCGTTGCGTCGCGAGAGCAAACGCACCGGCGAGTCCTGTTTTCTAAGAATGTCCAATAGTAACGAATAAGCTGTCAATTCGATCAGTGCCGGTTGCGTACGACGAAGCCAAAAGGGAGCACGCGTACACGAACACTCTACAAGTTCTCGCGTGCCGTTCCTCCACCCGTTCATTTCGGTGTTTACGTATTCTTACCGGTACGCATAACCTCCGTATCCATCGGTACCGGTCGTCGATGAAAGTTGAACGATCGATCGGTTACTTAATTTATTTATCGTTTATGAAACATCTTACACGTCGAGAAATGAAATAAATATACATTCGTTAACGGGGAGCGGGCAACAAATTCTTATTTCTATCCTCGTATTTTACATAGCGTCGAAGGGGAATCTGTGCGCCTCTTGCAGCTTCTCGATCTTGTCCTCCCTCCGCTCCTTCCAATACAAGGCGATGATAATGAACGATATCAGGCCGCAAGTGCCCGTCAACGCGGCGGCGCTCAGCAGAATCAGTTTGCTCGGGGTCACGAACAGCTGCGCCTTCCACTTCCACGGCTCCGCTATCGGATTCGGAATGACGACCATCTGAGAGTTTGGAATGATCTGCGGCCACTCCCGAGACTTGCCGCCTACCTGTTTCAAAGGTACGCATATATCTAACAGATGGAAATTTCAACAGAAACTGAGAAGGAAAAGAGTAAGAATACAATGGAGCAGAGTCTATGGAATAAAATATAAATAGGTTAGATAAATTGAAGAAAAGCAAGATTGAATTAGGGGATCGCTTACCCCTATCGTCAGAGCGTCGACGAAGTTCGGCGTTCTGCCTAAACCGAACGTCGTGTACGGTAAGTTCAGAGAAAAGTGCGCACTCTGCGGTAGCTGGGCGGCGATCGCGTTTCGAGGACTGCCGTCCTGGGTGGTGGTTCGATACGCTATCGAGGGTCCAGGCAGATTGGTGCCGTACGTCCTCTTCTTCTTCCCAAGGGACCCCGGTGAAATCGGGTACAAGCTGTTGTTGCGTCCGGTCAGGACCATTACCTTAACGAAGTTCGCGTCGTAGTCCAAACTGTTCTTGAACGCCGCTGTACGGTACGTGCCGTTGCTCTTCTCGAACTCCACCAGGATCACGTCCAGAATACCGTCCTGGTAGAAGTCGTAGAACACCGCCATCGCGGTCTCATTGTAGAACGGGTTCAACGCCTGCCACTTGACCTGGAACGTCCGGGCGAAACCAACGCATTTGTCGCACGCGACGTTCTCCAAGAGGAAGGACCGCTTCTGCCTGCTGGTGGTCGACTTGAGCGTGGCCAGCAGGTCCGGGTAGCCGTCCATGTTGAAGTCACCGCCGCGCAGAGTGATCGTGTCCGTGTACCGTTGTCCGTCGGGGTTCACGAACCCCCACATCACGTTGTTCCCGTCCGCAAAGTTCACGCGCAGGTCGTGCCACTCGTCGGAGTACATCATGATGGTGCTGTTGGTGCACGCGCTGTCGAAGCACAGTGGCAGCAGCAAGTCCATCTTGCCGGTCAACTCCATATCCAGGTAGAGGGTCTGCCCGATCACACCGGGGAAGTTCTCGTCTGGTGAAATGTTGTACGGGAATGGTATAGTCTTTTGGAATTCGAAACCCCGCTTCTCGACGCCCAGCCAGATTTCGAAGGATCTCCGTGTGGTTACCACCAGGTCTGCTAGGAAATCGCTGTTCAGGTCTAAGTAGGCGTTAGAGTGGGGTTCGCCGATTGGTGGAAGAGGGTCCAACTGGATGGAAGAGCGGTTTGGTGGAAGCATTCGTACTGCTTTCGGTGCTTTTCTACTCTCGTCAAATATCCAGAACATCCTGTCCCCGTGTTCATCCAGCCCAAATAGATCTATGATCATGTCTCCGTTGTGGTCCAATGCTAGTGGTTGGCCCCTCATTTTTACCAATGGTTCGCTCTCCTTTGTGCAATTCAATTGACCGTTCCCACCCCATAATACGTAAGCGTACGATAACTTCTCCCTTGGTTCGTACGTTACCACTAGTACGTCCATGAAAACATCTCCGTCGAAGTCTCCAGGCACAACGCCGACCACTGTACGACTGAACGTACACGTCAGATCCGAGCTGGGCCTCAGCAGCGGTTCCTGGTCCGAAGCTAGGAATATCTCCACGACAGTGGTGCCGTTGTTGCGTAACATGAACACATCCGTCAATTCGTCCGAATTGAAGTCTCCAAACGCGGCTGGCATGCCATCCAGCACGCCTCCGAACACCGCTGCAGTGATGTCACTGCATCTCGTCGTCCCGATCAAACTAACGATCGCGTACACGATCGTCGTCCATTTTATTCGCATGTTTTTCAAGTTGCCTCTGACCAGCTGTTTCGTTCTCTTTCCGTAACGAATAACGCAATTCTCGAAGCGTAGAATCGTTCAGTTGAATCGCTCCCAGAAGAGGACAAAAATTTCCACCGAATCGTTTTTAACCTAAAAGCAAATCGCTAGATAAAGGTTGTGACGACCATTCGCGTGTCACGATTTTTCACGCTGACACACCTCTGTCGCCTCTCCGGGAAACTGGTCCCACCGTTTATCCACTTGCCTTTGCAATCCAAGCAACAGTGCGAAATATTTTTACGGTTCAAACCACTCACAAACTATTTACACTTCACCTGACTGCGCCGTTCATGTTGCCCTGACAGCTGACTCACACGACTGCGCAATGCGTGAACTCTTTCTTCAATAATTCCGGATGTCGACTTATCGATCGATGATAACACAGATTGGTTGGACGAATAGTAACCGACATTACCGACATATTGGTTTTAAATTTGTTGCGCCACATAGTGTGAGACCGTTGAAACTTCTAGTCAAATTGTGTCAACTAAATGGCGCCACCGAATAATTTATTGTGACGTGTTTCTTTATTCAATATATTATTTACAATGTTGACTAAATTATAACGTTGAAATATTTTATCGACCAACTTCTATGACGGTTTGTAACAAAGGAATTTAAAATGTATAGTTAAATGATTTCTAATAACAAAGAGAAATTGACTTTATCTATAAGTAGAAACCGTCATTACTACTTGGCCTCTGTCCTCACTTCTGTATGTTTATCCTTATCAACTCGAATTTTGAAAGCCATCCAATCATTGAAATCTAATATTGAATATAGGAGATGATATTTAATATATATCATATATATCATTCATATTTGCTATGATTAATTAATACTTAAGTACTTGGACCATATCGTCCCACGTTTATAATCGAAATCACTTTATGTAACTGTGAAACGTGATTGGTTTCTCTATCACTCTTGCAATAACAAAGAAATTATTTGCTATTCATGCTGTACATTTTATTTGCATATTTCTACATAGTTTTTATCGTTCTGTATTATCGTGTACGTTTCACACCTTATAATTAGACATTAGTCTAAGATTCACAGCATAGATATACATAGATTAGGACAACAGGAGTGGGGAAAAACACTTGTGTTTTGTTCGTTGGTATGCGTGGCAGAATATGGCTACAATCCGGTACCATTCAAATATCATATGTTTCGAAGGAAATGCTTCTGTTTTGCCATGGAATGAATTATTTGAAAGGGATGGCTACTTTGCAGATATTGTTTAAGTGTTAAGTATTTCTTAGGATATTTACATGTAGGTAAATAAACGACATTTTATACATAAGTATTCCTTAGAATATCTTCTGTGAATGGGATATTGTAACTATGTTATTAACATTATTTCATTTGCATCTTCAAATTGTATTTGGAGGTTTCACTGAATCATCTATCATTTGTCTATTGTTATAGATAACTGTGTATTGCTGTTGACTGTCCTTTAATTGGTACTCAATTCAGAATGCAGAAATTTAGACGAGCTCAGGCACAAAATAAAATAGCCATTAATAAGCATTTAGAAGCGAATGCTTACTTAGAATCATCGAGTGAAGATGAGGATGACATAAATACAGAGGACATACAAAATGTGGTTGGCAAAGTTTTATCTGGTTACCAAGGAAAGGAGGCAGACGCGGAAAAGATTTTATCTTATTTAGTTAACGCGTTTCAATCTGGTAGCGCGGTTTGTTTAATATGCATTTCAACTATAAAGAAAGCAGATGCGGTACGTTAAGCTACATTGATTTTGTAGTTGATACATTAGTGAAACTTGGCATTAAACGAACAAAATATTTCAGATTTGGAATTGCAGCAAGTGTTTTGCCTTTCTACATTTATCATGTATCTTGCACTGGACACGAGATAGTTTAAATGTGAAACGCGAGAAAGGTGTTGCACCTATTTGGGCATGGTAAGAAACATTTTAAGTAAAGCACAAAAGTAGCATACAGTTTAATCCCTATATCTATCATTACTTGTAAATATTTATTTCAGTCCAAAGTGTCGCATGGAATATGGGCAGGACGAAGTTCCTCGTAACTATAAATGTTTCTGTAGAAAAGTCATAGACCCCGCGTTCCAACCATGGAACATACCACACTCTTGCGGAGACCCATGTGGCAAACTCCTGCAGCCAGAATGCGGTCACAAGTGTGTTTTACTCTGCCACCCTGGACCATGTCCCCCTTGCGCCAAAACAGTATCGGTTAAATGTTTCTGTGGCAAGCAAGCACCCGACCAACGAAGATGCAACGCCAAGGACTGGAGTTGTGGTACCGTATGCAACAAAAGGTACAAATCGTGTTCCCACACTTGCAAGCAACTGTGTCACGCAGGAGACTGTCCGCCTTGTCCAGAAACATTGACACTGGAATGTCACTGCAAGAGCAACACAGGCACAAGGCAGTGTTCCGAAGGCGCATGGAGTTGCGACAAGCCCTGTCGCCGTCCTCTGTCCTGCAACGTCCACGTATGTCAGAGCACGTGTCACTTACCCGGCGACTGTGGACCCTGCATTTTGGAAAAGAACAGAACCTGTCCCTGCGGTAAAAAGCGTTACGCGGTGTCTTGCAGTCAAGAGCAACTGCCAACCTGCGGGGACACATGTGGCAAACTCTTAGACTGCGGTTCGCATTTCTGTAACATGCGCTGTCACGCTGACCGATGTGGCCAATGCTTGGAAGTGGTTACAAAATCCTGTCGCTGCGACAGTTACACGAAGGAAGTCGCCTGCGCCAAGGAATTCCATTGCAACAAGAAGTGCGTGCAGATGCGCCTCTGCGGCAGGCACTTGTGCAACAAGAAATGCTGCGACTGCCTGATCAAGAACACGTTCAACGTATGCGAGAAGATTTGCGAGAACACCTTGAACTGCCGCAAGCACAAATGCTCAGCTCCGTGTCACAGCGGTCCCTGCTACCCGTGCGAGCGCACGGACGTCATTCAATGCAGATGCGGGTACAACAAGATAACAGTACCGTGCGGCACGACGAAGAGAGTAAGACCTCCACCCTGTAACAAGCCATGCAAGGTACCGCCGATCTGCCACCATCCCAAAAGGGAAACTCACAAGTGTCACCAGGGCGCGTGTCCACCTTGTAAGAAGATTTGCGATTTGACGTACAAGCGGTGCGGCCACTCCTGCGTCGCCGTTTGCCACACGAAGGTGTGGGTGAAGGTGAAGAAGAACGACGCGAAGGCGCAGCCCACGGGACCATGGGAGATACAGAAGGAGACCAAGCAGCTGAAAACGCTGCCGTGTCCGCCGTGCGAGGTCTCCGTGCCGGTCACGTGTCTGGGGGGACATGAAACACGCCCGTGGCCTTGCCACATGGCCAGGCCTACCTCTTGCGGAAGGCCTTGCGGAAGAATGCTGCCTTGCTCCAACGACACTTGCGAATTGGTCTGCCACAAGGTGTCATCTCCCGGAGATGCCGCGAATGGCACTCCGTGCATGGAATGCGAGAAGCCGTGCGCGTTCCCGCGACCGCAAGGCTGCACGCACACATGCCCGAAGCCATGCCACCCGGCGCCGTGCAGTCCCTGTAAACAGCTAGTTAAAATTCCCTGTCATTGCGGCATAGTCACTCTGTACCGGAGATGCGCTGAACTGACGTCGGCCACGTCGGAGCAGCGCGATGAACTGCTCAAATGTGGGAACCAGTGTCCTAAAAATGTAAATACAGTCATGCTTCGTGTTCGTTGTAGCTTGATTATGTCGCATTAACGCGTTGAGTGCTGCGTCAGTCGTGGATTCTAGGGACTGACAACGAATTTCTCGTTTGGTCGACATCGGTGCACGAGACCAGCATTTTAAAGGGTTAAATTATTAATGACAATTAAAAAATTTATGTTAAAATTTAGTGCACTTCGCTTTAGTTTTTCGTTAGGATATATTTTAAGTGCATTTGGCCTGCATTCGACGAGTATATATTATTTGATTTTATTGCACAATGAGAGATTTTTCTAAATTCCACAGTTAACTGGTTAATTCTGTTTCTACACTTGTACAATGTATAATCCTTAACCCCTTGGCCTATTTCTTTCTCAACTCTGATACAGCTTTGTCATTAGTAATTTATTGGAAAAAGAGGAAAATTTTAAGAATATGTTACTATATTTCCTTTTAAGTATAATAGTAGATTACAGAGGAATAATATTTACTTTGAATTCGAATTAACTAATATATATATTTCTCAACTCTGATCGATACGGCTACGTCATTAGTAATTTATTGGAAAAAGAGGAAAATTCTATGCCTATGTTTCCTCTTAAGTATAACAGTTTATTACAGAAAAATATTTACTTTGAATTCGAATTAACTAATATATATATTTCTCAACTCTGATACAGCTACGTTATTAGTAATGTATTGGAAAACGAGAAAATTTCAATGCGTTAACCGTTCGTTTCCGTTGCAGTACGCTTGCGGTCACAGGTGCATGAACGACTGCCACCCGGGCGTGTGCAAGGACGAGAACGAGTGCAGCAAGAAGGTGAAACTATTCTGCCCGTGCAAACGCGTGAAGAAGGACTTCGCGTGCTCGCTGGCGCAGAGGCAGAAGATCGAGGTGCCGTGCGACGACGTCTGCGCGAAACTGAAGAAGGAGAGGAGCCAAGCGGAGGCCGCGCTGCTCGCGCAGAAACGCCAGGCCGAGGAGATCCGCAATCAGGAGGAGATCGAGAAGTTCGAGAGGAAATTCAAGCCTCGTCGCAAAGGCAGGGACAAGCTCGACAAGAAACAGCTGCGCAAAGAGACCAATGGGAGTTATTGGAAATACTCGATTTTGACAATTCTAATAGGCGTCGTCGGCGTAGCGGTGTATTACATGACTGTTCAGAGAGTGTGAATCATTTTCGGAAATTCCAACGGAGAGAGAAAGAGAGAGAGAGAGAGAGAGAGAGAGAGAGAGAGAGGAATGATTGAGAGGAATTGCAGCGTAACGTAATTGTTTTAGTCATTTTCTTGGTTACACGCCAACTTAAACTGACACCGTGACAAACCAAAAACACTTTCGTATATTTTTATAATCCACGAGTATCATCGTTTCACGGCACCGCCGTGCCGTCGACTCGACCATCCAAAGAACGTTATTTTATGCTTGTGCGTTAATATTAAATAAACCATTAAGCGAGTCACTTTCATCTCTTTTCTCGATACCGAATCAACGCGGGATACCATACCGTTCCATGATTCCAAACAAACCGTCCATGAAGCTCCTCACGATTCCATCGGATTACCTCGGTAACCCCATTCAAGCGGAAGCGAGATCGTCGATCCTCAGCCTTCGAGGAAGTAACACCGTAGAACAAAGCGTCCAACGAGCAAGACGCGGAAAAAGAAAAATCATCGAGGTGGAATGCAGCCGGACAGTCGTGTCATCGCGTCGTAAATTCGATGGAAGCGTGCGGCGGTTCGCTTCTCGTTACGCCCCGATTTGCATGATCCTCTGCGTCGCTAGTCCTGGGGAACTCCTGAAATCGGATGACGCGATCGGAGCCTCCTACCGAAACCCGTCGCGCGTCTGCCCCGCGTCGACGAGAGAACCGGACAAGAATCGCGTCAGCCAATTCCGCGATTCGCCACCCACGTCGCTACAAATCTTCTTCTTCGTCTTCGTCTTCTTCTCTTTCGGTTGACGGGGATGACGCGAGGATGCGCGCCGCATCCTTTCACCGTCCGCCGGGGGTATCCTTATAAATACAACTATTCATCCGGGACTCGCCTCGTAAGTGGTCACAGGCTCGCGGACCGCGAGCGAATCGTCTCGAGATGATCCAGCCCCAGACGATCGTCCTGCTTCTGATCGGCGTGCTCGGCGCTGCGTCGGGTAACTAGACTCGAACACACCTTAACTGAACACTCCTCTCCACTCCTGCCTCTTCGATCATCTCAATCATCGATCCACACCTTCCTCGAGCAGCTAGAGTTCAGACGCGCGATCCTTTCCCGAACAATTCGCTTATCCAGCGGGCGAGATCCGCTCCTTTTCCCATTGTCCGCTCGTCCTTGCATTCCAGCGATACTATTTATAAGCGTTGACGCATCGACGTTCGACGTGCACGCTGTGATCGTTGTCGCTTCTTTCAGGAGCTCGCGCCACTGGCAGCGGCAGCCTCGCGTTCGGTGCGTATTTTCGAACTGGAACTGGAATTAAACTGGAACTAATTTCCGAACTGTCGGAAATCAGCGTCGACTTTGGTTGCTCAAAGTTCATCGTATTCCGAGGTAATATTCTAATCCTGCGTTTCTATTATAGGCGGCGCTTCCGCATCCTCGAACGCGGCTGCTTTCGCCTCGAGCAGCGCGAACGCGTTCGCCGGCGGCCTGGGCGTCCCTGGGACGGGCCACGAAGGGCACAAAGGAATCCGGAGCTACGACGACAGCGGATACGCGAACGACAATGAAGGGTACCAGGGTCAGCCTGGGTCAGGCAAGAAGAACCGCGGCAGCGACTGCTCCAAGTGTAAGTGGGAGAGTGACGACTACTGGGAGAAGGAGGAGGACGAACAGGAACCGGAAGAGGAGCCTGACGATGAGTGCGACGATGGGGATGATGGACAGTATAGGCCGCATGGGCATGATCATGGGCACGGAAAGACACCAGGTCAGGGTATACAGAAATTCGGTGCGCCGGGCGCGGGCCAAGCGCCGTGGACCGGAAGTTCGGCTGGTCCCGTCAAAGGAGGACCTCCTGGGGGTTTGAGTCCGACGTCTGGTTCGCCTTGGAGCGGATCACCGGCGAAAGGTGGTCATGGGGTTGGACCATATCCTGGGCAACCGAATTACCAGAATAATCAACAGCCGAATAAACAACCGAATTACCAGAATAATCAGCAGCCGAATAAACAACCGAATTACCAGCCTAATCAACAACCGAATAATCAACAGCCGAGTAATCAGCCAGGCGGAGGCTGGAACAGTAAGCCAGAAACTGGTTCTCCGTGTTCCGGTCAGCCCGGGTCAAGCTGCGGGAGTCAAGGTCAGCAGCATTTTCCGTGTCTATTTAAACGAAATGATGTAACATCGGACGAGTAGCTTCTTGTTTTTTCAAGATTTTACTTACGACGGTTCAATGGAGTTGAATTTCTGTTTAGGTCCCGCCGGTGTTGGACCCGTGAAGCAGGCGCCGGTGCCGTTTGGTACACCGGTGTATTCGTCAGGTCCCGTAGGAGGGTATAATCAACAGGGACCGTTGCCTGGATGCGCTGGTGGTTCTGGTGCTTGTGGAGGCAAACCTGGCGACCAGTCTAGACCAGGGTCGCCCGTTGGTTCACCGTACGGTGGACAACCGGGGAGTGGTTTTCCTCAAGGTAACACCGGTTATCAGCCTCATGGTGCTGCCCCGGGAGGTCCAGGGGGTTCTGGAGGTTGTGGAGGTCCAGGGAGTGCAGGAAGTCCTGGGTGTTATGGAGGTTCGGGTGGACCAGGAAGTCCAGGAAGTCCAGGAA